TTTTCTCCCACAGTAGTCAGAGTCAAAGTTCAAAATAAGCTTTCAATTTAGACTCAGAAAGCTACGCAATTTGTATATCGCAAATTGTGTAGCTTATTCTGACAGAAGGGTGCTGTCTAAACGCACTCCAAGAGGCCACAGATGCCTGCTCCAGCTCGTTGTGTTCCCCTCCCCTATGGCCCCACAAACTCAGTACCACTGGCCCCAGGGGGTCACTGCCCCCCACACTCAGACACAGCCAGGGCCTGGATGGACACGTGGCTGCTCTGTGCCAGCGACAGGGCGCTGCTGGGTCACAGGAGGGGAAGGGCAGACATCTCCCACCAGGACTCAGCCCCAGTTGGCCTGTCCCTCAGCTGCCCTGGGACCTTCTGGCTCCATCTCTCCACTCTGCCCCTGTGACTATGTCCCCCCTCCCCCCCCCCAGCTCCCTGCTGCCCTGGGAAGAGGCTGGACTGGGGGGACCAGCACTTCCCAGTAATTCACCTAGTTTTGATCTAACCCCCACTCAGAGTTTGCCCATTTCTGTCCTACTGTTGGATGCTCCTGCCCCTCCTGCCTTGCCCTTCCCTCCCCCCAGTTATCAGTCTCTCTGCACTTCTGCCTCCCCTGCTGCCTCTTTGTGACATTGGCTGTGAACCTGCTTTGGGTGCCCCCAACATCAAACCAACTGCAGCTGCTTCCTGTTTGGGGGGACCTGTTCCCTTGGCCCCAGAGGTCCCATTTCACCCCCTAGTTATCTGAAGTGAACTGTGCCCACGAGAGCTCATGATCCCATCGACATGTTGTGTTAGTCTCTAAAGTGCTACCGGATTATTGGTTGTTTTTAAAGTTTTTCCTGTTACAGACTCACTCAGCTCCTGCACCAAAGCTTTTAGAAACTAAGGGCAGAAACCTCCTGGGATGGTGCCACATGGCTGGGCCACAGCATGTCTCTGCCACAGCAAGATGGGGGGAGAACAGACCATCCCCCCCCACCCACACGCTCACCCCGGGGCATGCAAAGCGTGGGGAAAGGCCCCATCAGGCCGAATGCACAGCCCAGCTTGTCAGTACCCCGTGGGCTCTAGCTGTGGGGCAGAGCCAAGTGCCAGGGGGGTCCTTCGCCCCCCAGGGCAGCACATGTCCCAGCAGCGTGGGAGCAACCCCAGCCCTGCCCACAGCCTGGGGGGCAGGATTAACTCCTTAGCTCCCACAGCTGCACTCCCCGTGCCAAGCACTGCAAGGAGTGGGGCTGATGCTCACACTGCTGCTGCCTCCGGGGCCCTACAGGTGCAGGGGGAGCAAGGAAGGATCTGGGGCAGGGGCTTCAATGGCTGCAGAGGCAGGGCACGGTGACGTAGCTGTGGGAGCTGCATGCGGGGCCCAACAAACCGCATCCCCAGCAGGTGGCAGCACGCAGGCGCATCACTGGGCTCTGAGGAAACCAACCTGCCTCACTCCCAGAACCCTGGGACAGCCCATCACTGAGGGCATGAGAGCAAGGCACGGGGCCGGGTGGATTAATTCCTTCCCATCTGCACTTCTCCAACCACTACTGGCCCATTGTGGCATCCATTTAGTTAACCTCCCCAACACATATTGAGCAATAAGACTCAAATCAGCTGTTGGAACTAATCTTGGACAGAGTCCTGGGAACCGCTCACCCTGGGGTGTGGGCTGGATACCACCCAGTTAACAACCCCACTCATACCATTCTCTCCATGAAGACATCGGGGCCTCCCCTGGAGCAGGAGTGCCTCTCCTTGGGCCAAATTGCAAACCAGCACAAATGGGAAGTGCCACTGTCCAGACGCCTGCGTCCACAGTGTAATTCCCATATTGCACCCTGTGGATGCCACCCACAACAATTTCCTGATCTCCTTTGTATTTAATCCTTGGCCCTCTATGTAGCCAGACAGGAACCCCCTGTAACATCCATTTTTGCTTGCCTGGAGCATACAGGGCACACAGAGCAGAAGGCCCAGGCTGCTGTGACCGTGAATGACTGTAAACAGAGATACGCCAATTGCTGACCAAGAGGCTGCCAAGGAGTGTCCTTGACTTAACCCATATTGATACGAACACACAACCGTCCGCGGGGGGAGGAATCTCTCGCCCAGTAAAAAAATGTCTAGTAATCACAATTTCGTTCTCTCTCTTGCAAGTGTAAATTAACTTGAAACTTGCTTGTAAGAACTGGCGCCACAAAACGGACCAGTACAATTCAGCATCTTAGATAAGAAAGAGGATACGGGCCCCCAGGGGTATAAAGATGGGTCCAGCAGCACATTTTCTCTGAGTGTCAATCTACCATCTATCTGCTCGTCGGGTTAGGTGTTTGATCTCCCGAGGTTCCAAAGGGGACGCCCACGTCATATTCGTCTTTCCTAGGAATTGAGAGACCGGCCCTGGCCTGACACGCTGGAGTCAAGAGGCACAGAAAGGGGTAAAAATTGTACCTGGATGTGGTCCTTTGCTTAAGTATATATATACATAGTGTTAGAGTTCTTTAAAGATTAAGCTGTCACTTGGTACCATTATTTCTATTTTCTATCTTTACCTTTTTCCTGTAATCATTTTTAAGACCTATATATATATATATTTGCTAGCATTTAAGAAATAGAGCAATAGCCATTGTAACCATATGATTTATAAGCTTCTTTAATAAACCCGTAACTGTTTAAGCTTTAACCT